AAGAAGTGAAAGCAAAACAGAAAAATGTCTAAACTGTATAGAGGATTTCGATTGAGAAAACTAATAAATCAAAACATTAGCATTTTTATCTTTTTCCTTTATATGCTGATAGAAAGGGATGCAAAAATACAAAACACTAAGAATGCAATACATTTTGGTCTTTGTTTCGAAGACACTTTTATTCTAATCATTATTTCATCACATTGTATGCCGCGTCGGACATAACTGCCTGTGATTTCCAGTTTTTGGGAATACTTCTCAAATTTGTGCAGTATTTGCAAGTATTCCCCCTCGTATGCCCCAGTATTTCCAATTAAAGTCAACTTGGTTAACTGTGACAACGAAGTAGGTAACTGGGTCATGTCATATGCCAGTTTTTGGCTTATTATTGAAATTTGAATGTTCCGCGCATAAAAATTCGTTACAAGTGTGTCTTTTTGCATTGAGCATGTAAAGTGCAAATGGCCATAAGTAATACTTTTGTTGCATCCTCATATTTCCCATAATTCTTGAACAAAAAAAAATAAAATTTGGTAGGATCTTTATACCGGGTGTCCCACGACGTTTTTCCCAGGTAATAACTTCGGAATTTATCATCCAATATAATTGAAATTTTGAGGATCTGGGTAATTTTTTGTGCCGCTTCTACCATTGTCATCCAATTTCACCACTTTCGCTTCAATTTTGATCAAGTGACGTCAACTTTCGAATCCTAAATGTAACTAATGGTCTATTATGGCATTTTTAGTTAGAAAATTGAATTACAAAATCGGCAATGCCATTTTTGTTAAGGCATTGTTAAAGAAAATTATAAAAAATTATACAGTGGAACATGATGATACGAAGTTATTATTTGGAAAAACCTCGTGGGACACTCTGTATATACGTTACAATATGTTCCAGTTGCCTCAGAATTATTACTATATATGTGAATGCATAAGAAAATAGGGGTCACTATTTCAATTGCCTCAAAATTAAGGTAAATGGAACAGTTGACCAAAAAAAATTGAAACACTCAATCAGAACAAAGTGAAACACTGAATCAGAATGAACATGCACCCAATTCTTGAGATTTTAATGAAAAATACGTTAAAAGATGGGTTGGAAGTTATAGAAATTTACGAGTACTTCCATGTATTTTCAAATTATTCCCATTTACTTCCAGAGTATTTCCATATATACTCTCACTGTATTTCCAAGAATTTCCGAGTACAGTACAACCTTGATAATCCGAACATGCGTTATTCCGAACCTCCTCTAATCCGAACAGCGAATGTTCCAAGGTATAATCCGAACAAATCTCAATAATCCGAACAACTGCTGAAAACTGCTTCATGCTACGCGTGCTACGTAAAATTCAATACGTAATAATGTTCTCAAAGCCGGATCAGAAGAACCCGAAGAATAAGAATCTGAAAAAATGGTACCGACCAACGTGACTCACAAAGAAGCAGTAACCATGTTTCCAAACTTATTTGAAATGGGCAGAACAAAATTCTTAGCTGAGAACATTTTTCTTCTAAGGCTCGGTTTATTCATCTTCCTGGTACCTAACTATCTGCAAGATAAATTAACCATTTTATAATTTCGCATACCTGCCAATTTATCAGAAAGTGAATAAGCTAACCCTCAAAGAAATGAAAAAAAAAAGGCGGAAATGGGAGAAGCAGGCACTATGAAGCAAAAAAAAAATTACATTACATTACATTATTTACATAATTTTTTTTTCGCTCAACCTAAATTAAACTCAGAGTTAATTACGTAGGTACATTTATATTTTTCCTAAAAAATAAAGCTTATTTTTGATTATTTGCATATTTAAGTTAAATTTACCACGTATTTTGATAACTCAAACAAATCGGTAATCCGAACTGACCTTAGCAATAATTAGTTCGGATTATCAAGGTTTTACTGTATTCCTAAATATTCTCAGAATATTACCAAGTATTTCTAGGTATTCCCAAAGTATTCCCAGCAAAGTGTACATACAGTGATTTCCACAAGTGATTCACTCTTCGATTTTCCCTAAATTTCTGCTTTCCAATTCTAAAATTTTTCTGTCTAAATGTTTTTCTATTCCCGGCTCTTGAGTTGTTTTCATATATAATATCATATATAATATCATCACTCCAACACCACGACTCCTTCGGAGTCGTGGTGTTGCTGCATAATGCGTTTCGTGACAGGTAAAAGTATTATCCGGTAATCCTGAAACCTCTTATGGTATTACATTCGATTATACAACGAACTAAACTTTAATACTTTAAAATTTAAAAAAAAAATCTATAATAGAATTTGCTATAAATGCCACCAAGCGCGATAATCCCAAAAGGCTTATCACTTCTTAAGTGTCATATGGAAATAAGGTACAATGAGTTGTATAACCGGTGTAATACACTCTAGTAAAATAGTCTTCGAAATACCTCCAAACAGAGAAAATTCAAAAGCCTGGAATATAGGAAATAATAGCATACTCAATATGTCTATTCTATTATGACGGTTTTACACCAAGCCGACTAGTTGAGTTGCTGTTTTCAGTTTTGTTGCTGTTTTAAAAAACTAAAACTCAACTATTTTTACCGATAAAACTGTTCACACTTAAAAAATATTATGAAATAATAAACAGCCATCTATTTTCTGAATTGAACTAAACAAAACTGCAACCGTTTCTCTGTTGTTAAACGACAGAAAATAAAAACTCGACAGCAACTAATTTTTATCTGTTTAGTGTGAATAGTTATATCGTTAACAGCATCGTTCAACAGCAACTCAACTAGTCGGTTTATTGTAAAATCGCCATTAGAAATGTTCCAGACCCAGAAGGGAAAAGATCATGATAGTTAAGGTCATTACAGCCTTTCTAGGGTTTTCTTCATTCACCTGCATCGCGACCTGGTGCCTTCTTGGCTTTCAGGCCTCTGGATTCTCTAGGGATTGACCTTATTCCTGGTTCACGCAGTTTGTCTGCGAATTGATCAATCTCATCCTTATCTGGAAGTTCATTTAGACAATCTTTCCGCTTCTGCTTTTAAGAAAATTTCCTTAAATTTGCTCTCCAAATTTCTGATTTTCTCCATCTCAATTTTTGTCTATTCCGGGCTCTTGAATTGTTCCTTCTAAATATGTGTACATAAAGAAAATTCAAGAGCCTGGAATAGAAACAACATACTTAAGTCTTATTATTTACTCGATTTTCCCTAAATTTCTCAAAGTTTGCTGTCTAAATTTTTGTCTATTGCCGGCTCTTGAATTGTTTATTTCTAAATATCTCTACATAAAGAAACTTCAAGAGCCTGGAATAGAAACCACATGTAGGTACTTAAGTCTACTTATCTACTCCATTTTTTCTTAATGTCTGCCTTTCAATTGTCAAATTTTTGCCTATTTCCAGCTCTTCAAGAGCCTCTTAATACATATAAGAGCCGGTTTAATCACTTTCTAATAAACTGTTAGGTGATGCAATCTGACAGATAAAAACGCAATATGTAATTCCATTGTTCAGCCAATTATCCAGTGACCAACAGGATTATAGATATGTAAATTTATCTTGCATATATAGTTGTCAGTAAGTTTATTTTCAAGAAGAATAAACTGGGCCTAAAATAGAGAACATTGGATGTTAGCGAATACAATTTTAATACAAAAACAGATCTACGAAAAAGTCGTCTGATCCAAATCCATTCAAACATTTAAAATGCTGGACTAGAAGATGTTTTCCAGCAAGTCTTTTTTCCTATTCCAACAAACATCCCAAGCAGCAAAGGTTAGTCGCTATAACGTCGATTTTACATAGATTTACGTTGATTAACCAAAATTCAAACTCGGAAAGAGGTTGCAAAATATGACTTGTTTGGGACGTCACGTAGTGGACGTTTATTTGACCATGATATGAACCAGCAGGTTCAAAAGTTATCATGTAAAACCCATTATGATCCATTTTGGCAATTTTTACCACTCGAACAATGATCATTCTCAAAAGGTTTTTCATCAGATTTTCGGAACAATCTGAAATTAGTGTTTTGTGCATTTCAGCAAGTAAAGATGGAAGGATTTGTTTATCTCAATATTATTATACCTAATTGATGAATCATTACTGAAGTAAGAAATAAAGGGACCAGGGTAATGTAAATAAGCTATTGTACCTTTCTTTTCTTATCTATTTTTATATTCGTCATTCGAGAGTAGACTATTGTGGAGGAATAAACTTTTTAAAAAGTTATAATTACCTAAGCTATGGTCCTAACTGCCCTTCAAATCAGAATTTTGGTATTAGACTTCAAGCATTTGGCTATAGATGTTTTCAATAACTTCCTCTTAACAATTGAAGTTGCGTTTCACTGATATCCAGGGCAACAAATCATGGTTTAATTATTTTTGTTTAGTAATTGGTGTCCTCTGGGGAAGCCGTCCACCATAATAGGTTAGGATCCCATTTGTTGCACGATTATACTATTAAAGGTAAGTGTAGCAGTGGGGCACTACCGAATACCGGCTAGAAATTGTTGAATTATGATTTGCTGTTGGTTGTCAGCTGCACAACGTGGTTTCAAGTGAATTCAGTTTAATGGGGCTCTAATATAATAGCTGACTGCTCTCCAACTTTGCCAAGCAAAATTGTTTTTGTGTTTTCCAGATGAAAAATCAAGTGATCATGTTCTATATTGTAGCTGGAATGAAATGGTCACGCCTCTAAACAGGAATAGAAAACCTTTCGAAGGAGGTATCGCATGGGGTAGTTTCTCATTTTAGAAAAATCATTAGATCACTGATTGGTCTATTTCATAATGAGTAAAATAATCTAATAAATCCCATAAACGCTCGAATAAAGCAAAAAAAAAGAAAAATTCCATCAATTAGTAATATTTTATTGCTTTCAATAACTATAGAGGTTAATTTTAACCCACAAACCTCCTGACACATCTGTTCGGAAATTAAAAAAAATTACCGGCGTCTCTGAGTAATTTATTAATGGACGCCCACGGTTAAGATGGGCGTAAACAATGGCCGTACCCATATTTTACCATCGTTTATTGAGTGCTACATCCATCTAAATGTTGACATATTCGAACACTCCTCAAGGCAAAAGTTTTCCAGAAACTTAAAACAATTTATTATCTATTTACTCAAGTGTCTCATATAAACTATGTCAAGTAAACAAATCCAGACATCAAACAAGAAAATTGTAGTAATTTTTTCGAATTTTGTTCCAGGAACAAGCTTTAGACGCCAAAAACCAAGCCCAATCTCCCGAGGATACTGAGGATCTGTCGCCGTTGCCCACCCACGCTCAGGGACCGGTCAGAAGAAGAGGAGGTATATCGGCCGAGCCTGTTACAGAAGAAGATGCCACCAGTTATGTCAAAAAAGTAAGAGAATTAATTATATTCCGGTGGTTAATGGATTAGACGTTATCAATTTATTGTTTAAGATTAGAGCTTTCTTAATTAGAAATTGATGAGTTTTCCTTTATGTTTTGCCTCCTTATTTTGGTGCTTAATTTTAAATGAGACATAAGGTTATAGATGATGAATTTTAAACTGCTTTTGGAAAAACAAAATTTTCTTCCACGAAAAGCGGTTTCTGCTTTAATGAGAAAGTTGTTTTTGCTTAAATTATGGAGATTTTAATGGGTATCGATCAGTGCCCAACGAAAGATTATTAAGGGATCAAAAACCACTCAGGCGAGAATCAACACGATTTATGGCCGAGCATATTTTTAATTAAATAATCAAATTTCATATTTTCCAAGCCGGTGCAATCAAAAATAATTGAAGTTGTTTGTGTGGGTAATGCCAAATTTCCTACAAAGTAAACCTACTACATAATGTTCCTTAAGGCCGTCACACACGATAAGCATAAGCCCCAACCAATCAGGTTATCTGATTTCCAGTTGACACTAATTGGTTCTGTATTTCAAACTTATTGGCGAATTGTCAACATATTTCTTGTTCTAGGTCGTACCAAAAGACTATAAAACGATGGCGGCTTTGTCCAAAGCCATCGCCAAAAACGTCCTCTTTTCGCACTTGGACGAAAACGAACGCAGTGACATCTTTGACGCCATGTTCCCTGTCACTTTTCTACCTGGCGAGGTGATCATTCAGCAAGGCGACGAAGGAGACAATTTCTACGTTATTGACCAAGGAGAAGTTGAGGTAAGGATTTTGTCAATCAAAATAGACAATTTTTCTTGAGAAAACTACAAAAATCTATAGTTAATTTTTCAATGACTAGGTACGATAAATCAAACCTGCCTCTCTTGTTATGTAGGCACGCCAATTAATTACTTATAAAGGACACCCTCTGTGTACCCTCTGATTGAAAAATAGACTATAGTTCCTGGATAATTTGATGTCTAATTTACAATCAAATATTTATTTCCAGGTTTACGTCAATAATGAATTGGTAGTCACAATAAGTGAAGGTGGCAGTTTCGGTGAGCTGGCTCTCATTTACGGCACCCCTAGAGCGGCAACCGTAAAAGCCAAAACCGACGTAAAACTGTGGGGCATCGACCGAGACTCCTACCGCAGAATACTGATGGGTTCCACTATAAGAAAACGAAAAATGTACGAAGAATTCCTCTCAAGAGTATCCATCTTGGAGAATCTAGACAAATGGGAACGATTGACAGTAGCGGACGCTTTGGAAACGTCCAGCTTCGAGGACGGCGAGACGATTGTCCGGCAAGGCGAACCCGGCGACGATTTTTACATTATTGTCGAAGGTTCCGCGCAAGTGAAGCAAAAACGGGCCGAGGGCGAGGAGCCGCGCGAAGTCGGCCGGCTCGGACCGAGCGACTATTTTGGCGAAATCGCTTTTGCTATTGGATAGACCGAGGGCGGCAACTGTAGTTGCTTGCGGTCCGCTTAAATGTGTCAAACTTGACAGAGCCAGGTGAGAATTGTCTGTCACATAAAAGGTGAACAAATATAACTCCAGATTGTTTGTTGTCTTTGTCTAGTCAACAGGCTATTCAATGTTTCTCCATCGTTTTAGGGCCGGTATTATAAAGTCCGGTTGACCGAAGATTGAATTTCAACCAGCGGTTGAACTGAAATGTCCATTCAAAATCATACGAAAATGTCAGTTCGACCGCTGGTTGAAACTCAACCTTCGGTCAACCAGGCCCTCAGTAACTTTACTAAGCATTTGCCATGTCATGCGTCATCCTTTATTCTCCGTGTGGCGGATTTTACTTTTGATATAGAGGTTTGGCAATAGAATGAAATGTCTAGAAAAAGTCCTTAGTTAAATAGAGAACAAAAACGATTTCTCCTGTTTCAAAGAAAACTAGCCGGTGTTGCCGTTTCGTAGAATATTTATGCATCTTGTATGATCATGGATCGAACATTTTTATTCATGTAACCTTGATCATTTGGCAACGTTGTGACGAGGAATTGTTGCCTACAGCATTCCTCTCTCTTTCAAGAAAACGTTTTCTTGGGTCCTTAGGTTGGTGAAAGGGGAATTTGCTAGAGCAGCTTTTTCTCTGTCTTTATTCCACTGAAGCCTTTGCCTATCAAATTCCCATTTCGTTTTATGGCACTAGAAATCTCTGCATATGGGATTTCAATAGGATATTTCACTGGATCCTATTGAAATGCCACGCAATTTTGCTGGAATCTCATGATATACCACAGAATCCTAATGCAATGCAATGGAATTCTTTGAGGAGTTCCATAAAATTTCTTGTGATTTTTTAGAATTATTTCAAATGCTAACAAGCAAAAAATCTGGACTATGTAGAAAGTATTGTTTTTCAGTTTAGCCATTACTACATACGTACAAACTAGAAACATCGACTAAACTAAGAAATCCCACTGGAATCTCATTAAAATTCCATGGAATCCCACTCACTCATTCATTTTTAATTCAAAATTTTCTCTCATTATCAATTCAAAAACTCACTAATTTTCAGGTCAGCACATTTTTACAGTTTTTTCATGCAACTTTGATTTGGAACTTCAAAGTCTTCAAATGAACTTCAACTTAACTTTTCCATATGAAAAAGACTTTGATTCGTGAATCCTGAAAGTTTCAAGTCACTGTGATCATTAGAAGTGTTTTACACAAGTGATTTTTGCATACTTTTGAAGTTTTTTTATGCATCAACATGAGAAAAACCTTTCAAATTTAATTGAGAGGTTCAAATTCACTTCTAATTGAGTTTTTCATGAAAAAGAAACTTTAATTTATAAATTCTGAAAGTTTCAAGTCACTGTGATCACTAGAAGTACTTTGCATAAGTGATTTTTGCAGATTTTGATCATTTTTGCATGCATTAATGTAAGAAAAAGATTCTAAATTTAGTTTGAAGCTTCAAATTAACTTTTCCACAAAGAGGAAACTTCAATTCATAAATTCTGAAAGTTTCAAGTCACTGTGATCATTGGAAGTATTTTGCACAAGTGATTTTTGCAGATTTTAATCATTTCTATTTTCTGCATGCATTACTAAGAATATTCAAAATTTTAATTTCAAACCCAATCAAGAGCCAGGAATATTTAAAAATTGAATTTTTGAGCCAATCAAAAGCAGGGAAATTTTCTTTGTTTGGACAAATTTAAGAGCTGGAAATAGAAAAAAATTGAGCAGGAAAAATTGAGAAATAGAGAGAAGAAATTTGAAAGAAATTAAGAAAAAATTGGTAGATAAGAAGACATCCATGTATGTTCTATTCCAGGCTCTTGAAATTTCTGAGCCAATCAGAAGCCCGGAATATTGAAAAGTTGAATTTCTAAACCAATCATGAACCAGGAAAATTAAGAAATTGAACTTTAAAGCCAGTCAAAAGCCGAGAATGTTTTGAAAACTGAATTTCTCAACCAATCAAAAGCCGTGAATAATAAAAATTGAATCTCCGAGCCAATCAAAAGACCTGAAAATTGAAAAAATAAACCACTCACGCACATTTTTTATGGAAAAGTGATCTATGTGGAATTTTGCTGAATTTTTGAGATTGTGTCAATTTAGTAATAATTTTTGGTGCGGTAAGCATACTGGTGACGTCATATTGAAGAGTATTACATTAAAAAAGATTTAAATTGATATCCTAAAAACTTTTCGGTATCAAACATAAGCGCAATGATAACTTTTGTTAAGGATAACTGCCTATTTCCACATAGATCACATAAGAAATGTACAAGGTCTTTTAAAACCAATCAAGAACTGGGAATATTTAAAATTTGAATTTCAAAACCCAATCAAGAGCCAGGAATATTTAAAAATTGAATTTCTAAGCCAATCAAAAGTCGGTAAAATTTCTTTGTTTGTACAAATTTAAGAGCCGGAAATAGAGAAAAATTCAGCAGGAAAGATTGAGAAATATAGAGAAGAAATTTAAGAGAAAAAAATGGTAGATAAGAAGACATCCATGTATGTTCTATTCCAGGCTCTTGAAATTTCTGAGCCAATCAGAAGTCGGGAATATTGAAAAGTTGAATTTCTAAACCAATCATGAACCAGGAAAGTTGGGAAATTGAACTTTAAGCCAATCAAAAGCTAAGAATGTTTTGAAAATTGAATTTCTCAACCAATCAAAAACCGTGAACAATAAAAAATTTAATCTCTAAGCCAATCAAAAGACCTGAAAATTGAAAAAATAAATGTTAAAACCAATCAAGAGCTGGTAATATTCAAAATTTGAATTTAAAACCCAATCAAGAGCCAGGAGTATAAGTCAATCAAAAGCCGCGAAAATTTCTTTATTAAGACAAATTTAAGAGCCTGAAATATAAAAAAAATTCAGCAGGAAAAATTGAGAAAGTGTAGAACACAATTTTGGGATTCTTTAGGAAAAAGCAAGGTGAACCTTAGATAGAGGGTTCACGTCAGTGTCAGTGACAGTGACAGATTTTCAGAGTATCAATATTCTCATGTATTCTCAGTACAACAAGGTTCTGCTCAAAAAATTAGAAATATCTGCTACGAGCTGCTATATAAAAGCTGTGACTCCATGTGACCAGTTTTGTAACTTCAAATCAGATTAGTGTCTCAGAGAAACGGTTATCACATCAGGGGAATTAAGGCTGGGACTTAGTAATGAATAGAAATATTTTCTCTCTATTGTTTTCCCCTTTCCATTGATTTTGAATTTCGAAAAGAGAGAAGATAAGAAGTTCCATAGTGAGGGAAATAATGATTTCTGTTTGTTATAAAGTCCTAGCTCTGTGGACCGCATCTAGCCTACTTTGAAATAAAATATACTGAACATTTGATCAAACAGTAAACAATTTTTCAAACCAAATAATATATTGACTTGAAAACTACTGGACCCACAAATATAAATGTTTCAGTTTTCGAAAGTTTGATTCACTGAAAATTCAAAGAAAGAATTGTGAATTTATCAAATTAAACAAATACTAACAATGACAAGTCTTAAATCATATTTTTTTCTTCTAGATTCGAGCGAGTCCTAGGCCCCTGCGCCGATATCCTGAAACGTAACATTTCTCAGTACAACAGTTTCGTTTCTTTATCCGTCTAACCTAAACTTAGACAACAGGATCTTTTCGATGGGCGCCTTCTTGTACATTAGAAATGCGCACCCAATTTTAACCCGAAACCAAACGTACTGATGTATATTTTTGCTATATTTCTAAAACTTGAAAGGCGTGAACTTCAATGTACCAGGAATGGCCAATTGAAAAGAACTGAAAAAAATCGGGCCAAAATTGTTAAGTCTTCTTGTTTAAATTGATCGTTATTATTATTGTTTAATCTAATTAGAAAAAGAGTTTTATTTATGCAGTAAAGAATTTATTGGGGCGCCATCTGTAGAAAAATGTGCAATTCAGATGGTGTTTTGTATAGGGACTTTGTATATAAAAAAAATACTGATGTTTGTGTGGTGTATTCTCCTTCCATCGTCGTTGCTTTTTAGTTTCAGGCATATAGAACCAGCTCTAAGATTTTTGTTTTGTAAAAATAATAATAATAATTGCTAACTTATGTTGATTCTATGAATAAATTATCTATAGTATTTTAGTTTATTTTACCCTCCTAGTTATGATAAGAAAAAGACTAATAATTATAAAATTATTTCATGTATTTTAGATGTTTAATAGGATACAAGATTTTTGTACCAAAACATCGAGGGGTAAATCAAAATGTATACACCATAATCCCACAATATGTTTGTACACTATAATTCCAAGATGGTTTAACCCTTGCAAAACATTCATCTCATTCATCTTTTGCTTCTTTAGATCTTTTCAAAAAGTTCTGAACGGCGTTTGATTCGAAAATAACGCAAGACAATAGCGCACCAGTACTAGAACCAATCCAGTAAACTAAAATGTGTTCCAAAACTGTATTGCCTTCGCATCCTAGTTTCAACGATGTTGCCAGAGCTGGATTGAAATAGCCACCAGATAAATTAAATGCTAAAAGAATGTTAATTACACATTGCTGTTTAAAATTTTAATATATTTTACCTAAAACAACCATGGCAGTGCTGAAAGCAGCATCGACAACTCCACTAAATTTAAACGATTTTTCTGTTAAAATTTTAGACGTAACTCTACAGGCACAAGTCAATGCACATTCCACAATCGCACCTATCACCATATCCACTTGTAAATCAGCTGTACAGTCTTCATAGGCTTTATCTTTATGAGTTTCCACTAATTCCATAGCCCAAAGCAATTGGACATATCTAAAATAAGGTAAGTTACTTATATAAAAATTTTATATTAAAAAATTGGTACGGGAAAGTCAAAAGAGCAGCAATAAGTTGAGCTCCAATAATATTTAAAGTTGATTGCCATGTTCTCTGGCCGACAAACGCTTCTTCCAAAGGACAATAAGGACAAGCTGAAGAATTTTCCCATTTTGTTGACCAGTAAATCGTTAAGAGTAGCAGGAAAAGTGCGTAGGCACCCACACCCCAATTGTCAGCGACTGAAAAAATTCTAAACTAACTATGCCTGTTATAATAGAGCAGTCACTCACCTATTATTAATTCGTAACAAGAAGCACAAAGTTCAAAAGTAGCTACAGCTTCCAATAAAAGTTGCTTAGTTAAAGAATCGCATTGTATATAACTGTGCACTTGTTTTCTCAAATAGGAGGCCAAAAATAGAGTAGCTGAAATGTAGCTGAGTGATATTACCAAAGGATTCAAGCCCAAAATGTTGCGTTTTTTGCTATATAAAAAGGACAAGTAAATAGTATTTTAATTATTTTTCAATGGTACACATACCTATGACCTAACACACCGACATTTCTCAGCACTCTGTGCAAGGTTTTCGGAAAACCTTGTGCGTTCATTTTAACTGATCCAATTTAGCTGACATTCGACCCATCGCACTAAATCTACTACTACAAAATAGTTTCTGAAATTTGTATTTATTTTTAGAGTGTATATACTTGAGTCAACCCGAGAATGAGTTATTTTTAAAATACAATTTTTTGGCGTCATTAGTATAAATGACGTTTTTTTGGCTGCAATTAAATTGAGACAACATTATAATTAATTCATTTATTTCCAAAATCACATCCAACATAAGCACCGTGCTCCATACAATAATCAATCACATTTCTCCAGTAAGTATCACAACTCAGCAATGTAGGATTTCCAATTATCACTAGTAAAGCTTTTGGACGAGAGATGGCTACATTTAATCTACGCGGACTCGAAACGAAACCCAAACCGTGCTTTACGTCTGTGGCCACGTAATCACTTGTAGATCTAACAGTTGATAGTAGAACAACATCAAATTCTTGCCCTTGAAAATCTTCTACTGTTCCAGTTTTGGGTGCTTCAAACTCGGCTTCACGTAACAGTTGTTTGATTTCTTTGACCTAAAATTTTTCAACTTAGAAATTATAATGATTCAAAAAAAAATTACTCACTTGTTTGATATATGGGGTTATTATTCCAATATTTTCAGGCTTTATGCCTAGTCTGTATAGTTCGTTTATATAGTAAAATACTTGAGCGGCTTCATGAGGGTTGCACCAAGAAGGTGAGTCATGGTTTTGGTAGTTTTCCCCTTCAACTCCATGGAATATTATAGAAGGCACTTTATTGTCGATGGTTTTTGGCAAAATCGACTCTAGCGAGTTTAATAATTGAGCCTCTTTGCTGTTTATACTAGATATCTACAAAAAATAAATAGAAAAACTATAATTATTATAATGTAAAATTCTTACAGTAGGAATAAGTTCGCCGTGATAAAACAACCGACTGAAAATATTCAAAATTGGCTCCAAACTTCTATAGTTGTGCAATAGTTTAGTAACTAAACGTGGATCATAGCCTTCAGTGTCAGGAAAGCCTTGAATGTCTCTTATATAAGGAAACCTATTTATTAATCTTTCCAAATAAGACTCTTGCAATCCGCATTCGTTGGCTAAAGTTGACAGTATTACAGGGCCTAATTGCATTGGATCACCTATAGAATAAGGAAATATTTAATTTTCTGAGTATAGTTATTGATTGATTTTTTTACCTGCTAAAATAATTTGTCCATAATATTTGTCCATCAAGGAAATCGGAATCATCACTTCGGGTTCGGCGGCCTGTCCGGCTTCGTCTACATAAATATGAGTGAAATGTCCTCGTGTGAAACCCATGGTGTGTAAAACTCCGGCAGACGAACAAGTGGAAACTGTGATTTTGTGACGTCCCAATACCGTTCTGCTACAATCTACGAGAAAATATTGTTAGTTGGATCATTATTATTTTGCTTGTTTATTAATTTTTCTGGAATTTTTTTTCTCTATTGGTCAATTTTTGTCTATTCGCGGCACTTGAAGATTTATCAAAATTGACACCAAGACAGTTTTTGTCTTACAGATCCGTTAATTTGCATTCGATTTTGATGAAATTAAGCTTTAATTAAAGTCAATTAAATCCTCTACAAACCTACCGATAAGGATTTCAATTTGGTTTCAACGGTTTTGCACCTGAGAAGCTTCAAAATTGAATTTATCTTCAAGGCAATTAAAATGTCTACAAAAAGACTTAAATTTGGTTAGAAAATATTAACATTTCACAAGGTAAATTGCTACAAACACTAATTTGAAAACTTCCTATGAACATTTTTTTTTTTGTAGGAAAATAAAAACTTCATACAAACTCAAATAAAAGCACATAATTACCAAATGTCATGCCATTTTGCCCAAGCACATTCTCGTCAGCAGTTCCTTCTCTAGAATAACTCCCAGTAGCACAATAAGGCACCAGTTTAACAGGAATATGATCCCCTACAGCATAGTTAATAGAAACCAATCTAACCAAATCTCCAGGCTTCAAAACTCCAAAATTAATCAGCCTCAATGCAACCAAATCAGCTGCACTATTCGATGGAGCAGTCACCAAAATCCTGCACTCCGGTTTCATTCGTAAAACTTGCAAAATCGACTCTATAAGAGTGACGGTTTTCCCAGTACCCGGAGGCCCGAAAATTATGTAAGGCAAAGGCCTCGCCACCCCTTTCAGGATGTTTATAATGGCATCTTTTTGTTTGCAGTTCAAATTCTGATTGTACCATTCTAATTTGGGCAGTTGAGATTCTTGTATCACATTACCATATTGATCGCATAAGGAATTAGATTCGTGCGCTTTTTGTTCCAAATCTGAATTGTTTGAAAATGAATTTTTAATGTTTTTATCATAAAAATCAAAACAAAATCGCACTTGTACAGGTTTTTCCACTATCTGATTAGGAAATAGCCATTCTTTGCCTAAATTCCTAGCCACCATAAACACTGCATGGTGTTGTCGTCTATACGAAGCTCGGCCAGGTATAATTCTAACTGAATAATCCTCGCCTTTGTAAGTGTCGTGAAACAAACAAGAAAATTTCAAATAAATATGCTTGGCTCCAACTTTGAAAACGTTGCCTTCATATTCGTGCTCGGATATTCCCAAAGGGTCTCTGGCCATTATTTTGTCCCCTATTACGATGCTGGGACGTCTTTCAGCTAAGTTTTCAACTTCCATCATTAAAAACTCATTGTTTGCTATAAAACAGGTTCTATCTTGATCATATTGCCGAATACATATAATATTTGCAATTTCATCTAAGTGTAGTAGAGTGTGGAATCTTTCCTCATAATTCATGCCATTTAGATTTGTAAACAAACTCCTTTTAATCACTTTTAATTCATCAACTAATTTGAAATTATCTTTTTCTAAGGTGTATTTAATTACCAAGTCTAATAAATGTTTTGGTACAGGGTATTCAGGAAGATTGGCAGCTCGGAATCTTGTTGTGGAATTTTTTTGGCCTCTAATGACTGATGTATTATTGCTGTAGGAGTTTTGATAGTTCACCGAATGATTTTTTGTATAATATGTGCCACTTTTATTAAGATCAACCATTACGTTTACATATTTTCCAATAGTGAATCCTTCAAAATCAAATTCTAAAAACTCATTTGATGTTCCAATGGTTTTTGATGTGCAATTGAATTTTATATTGAAATTTGTATTAGGAAGAATATTTCCAGATTGTATAGAATCTTGTGCAAAAACCAACTGTTGTAAAGAGTTTTCAGTAATATTAACATTCAACAACTTGAAAACTTCATTTGAATTATTCCTTAAAACAACACATAACTCCTTAGTAATTCCTAACTTATCAAATTTGATTAGGCAATTTGAAATTTCTAAACCGGGATGGTTTTCTTCGATTTTCCTTGTACCAATTGTATTATTGCAACTTTTATAAAACTCATTGACAAGTTTTGGTAAAACCTTTAAAGCCCTCCAATTGCATTGTTTCTGGTCTGATTCTATTACTTCAGTTATGACTGTGTCGCCTACAATAGGTACATAGCCGCAGCTCAAAGAATTCTTATCAAAAAATATTTTTTGGCCTATAGTGCCGCACTGTTCTAGCTTATCCCAATAAGTAATTTTTCCTGTTTCAATATGAGGCCTTATAGGGATAATTTTATTGACTTCGATTATTTGTCCGCTCAAATCTAAAGTTTGTTCGTTTACTTCGTATTTTACGTCAACTTCGAGCCAATCACCTACGTATGGTATAAATTCTGTGGTGGTTTTGTCTAAGTTGACTTTAATATCGCCAGGAGATATGAAGAGGAGGCGCTTTTCGCGTTTTTCTACTTTACCGATCATTATACGGGTGGTGGCTATAGATTTTTTTTCTATTACAGTGTCCCAGTCTTTGTTTACTAGGTTTACGTTGTAAATTACTATTCCACCTAAAACAAAAATACAATAATTGGTTTATTATGGGTTAGATTTTTGAAAACTTTGATAGGTCATAAATTCTTTTCTATTATAGATAGAGAGCTGAAATTTTCAGGAATTATTATCCCAGTAGAGGACTACAATCCCTGAAAATTTCAGCTCATTCGAACTTGTACTTCCAGAAATAAAATCGTGGGTAATTTATCAATTTTTCAATTTTCCTGAGTGCCTTTTATCATAGAATCCGGCTCCAAATCTCAGAATAATTAAGTGTATAGAGTTTGGGGGGATCCCAAAGAATCATTAAGACACAAAATCTCAACAAAAAGAAATGAAATTTCCATAGACAAATTTCGTCGTTTTAATAAGAAGGTAACTATGTACAGGGTGGGCCAAATTGGACACTTTCTTATGGAAACACCCTTCATTTTTAGAAATAGAAAAAAAATGGACCCCCCACTCTGAAGCTCAAATTTCATGAAATTTTGATTGGTGCAAACCGCATTTTGATATCTTCAACCGTTTAGCCGCTAGAGGGCGATTCTCGATTTTGAGCAATACTGTAAAAAGCCTTCATAACTTTTTTGTTTATGAAAATAATTCATTTCCGTAAAGACCTTTTCGAAGCACTTTTTCAAGCAGAATTCAGTGACGTTCTCAGTTTTTTTCTGTTTAGCTTCGATTTCGAGATATTGACCAAAATCCGATTTTTTTCAATAGGATACCCTATATATTAATAGTTCATTAGAAAGCTATGCTTTTGCTGAATTCAATGATATAAAGTTCGATAGGTTCGAGAAAAAAATTATTTCGGTTTTTGTCATAAGAAACAATGTGTTAGAAAGAGACCTTTCTCAGTTTCCTTACAGAAATAAAGTCCTTTTCCAACACATTGTTTCTTATGACGAAAATCGAAATAATTTTTTTTCTCGAAAAATGTTAGAGATAAACTATCACATTTATATCATTGAAATCAGCGAAAGTATAGCTTTCTAATGAACTATTAATATATAGGGTGTCCTATTGAAAAAAATCGGATTTTGGTCAATATCTCGAAATCGACACTAGACACAAAAAAACTGAGAAGGTCACTGAATTCTGCTTGAAAAAGTGCTTCCAAAAGGTCTGTACGGAAATGAATTATTTTCATA